CGGAGCTTGCAGTGAGCCGAGATCGTGCCACTGCATTCCAGCCTGGGCGACAGAGTGAGACTCTGTCTCAAAAAAAAAAAAAAAAAGCAAACAACTGTAACTTAACCATGCTTTTGAAACTTCTGATGTTTTTTCTCTCCTCTTCTTCCAGGTGTCTATTTTAGAAAGGCGCAACACTGCGGGAAGGGTGGTGTATAAAACCCTGGAAGACCCTTGGACTGGGAGTGAGAGTGACAAATTTATCCTCTTGGGCTATCTCGACCAGCTGCGTAAAGATCCAGCTCTTCTGTCCTCTGAAGCAGTGCTTCCCGACCTGACCGATGAACTTGCTCCTGTGAGCATCGAGGCCGGGAAGGGTGGGACGCCAGGAGGGCCTGTGAGTACACAGTGCTGGTGGCGGATTTCTGCTCAGAGCAGAGGTCTAGCAGCAGCACTGTGTTGCAGGGTAGAGGGACTCTCCCTTCCGGGTTCAGTCCTGACCATCATCCATTTTCTCTCTACATAGGTTTTTCTCCTTCGATGGTTCTACTCTGCGTCTGACTATATCTCAGACTGCTGGGATAGCATTTTTCACAACAACTGGTAGGGATATTGCCGGCTTGAATTTCTTTTTCTCTGTTAATACTGATACCACTGTTTTTCTTTTGAAAAGAGTTCATCATTATTAAATTTCAGTGTACACTTGATGAGGCAAGTGGAAGAACGTTTACACATTTTCTTTTTTTTTTTTTTTTTTTTGAGACAGAGTCTCACTCTGTGGCCTGGGCTGGAGTGCAGTGGCGCGATCTCAGCTCACTGCAACCTCTGCCTCCCGGGTTCAAGCGATTCTCCTGTCTCAGCCTCCCAAGAAGCTGGAGTTACAGGCGCCTGCCACCATGCCCAGCTAATTTTTATATGTTTAGTAGAGACAGGGTTTCACCATGTTGGTAAGGCTGGTCTCGAACTCCTAACCTCAGATGATCCACCCACCTAAGCCTCCCAAAGTGCTGGGATTACAGGCGTGAGCCACCGCACCTGGCCACTTCCCTTTTTTTTATATTGGCTGACTGACCCTTTCCCACTGTCTGGGAAAGGATCACCCATGGCTGCCATTCTGGGCGGCAGAGCCTGGGACTGTCTCTTCATCAGGGAACCTCTGGTACCCAGCACAGGACCCAACACACATGGAGGCCAGTGTATAGATGTAAAAGGAATGAGTGAATTAACCTGAAGAGGGATACCTACTCGCACCTACTGATGAGACCATGAACCCCTGAAGGACAGAACCATATCTCATTCATGTTTGTGATTCCTGGCACTCAACACAGCACCTGACAAATGACACCCTTTGATGGGTGTTGGTAGGTGCATAAAATTTCAGAACACCAGTCCTAGGTGAAATCTTGAAAGATCAATTTTATCTCCCTACTCCACTCCTCTGGGCTACATCTGAATTTTTCTGGCCAGAAAAAAATCAGTAAAGTTGAGGTAATAATTCCACAATATCAGAAAATTCTTCCACATTTATACCTTAAATCCTTTATTATCCCTTTTATTGTTTGCTTATGCAGAACTTATTGAGCATAGCCTATTATACTGAGATACAAAATCAAACTTTTAGAATAAACTAAATTAGAACACTGAGCAATCTCTGCCTTCCCCTCCACCACCTCCACCCGCCAAGAAAAGCTCTGTCTGCCTGAAATTAGTAAGTGTTTATTGGTGTGAAGAGTTTTATGTTTGGGATTTTTAGTTTATTTTATTTTATTTAGCTGGAGAGAAGAAACTTTAACTTGAGCTAATAGTTTGTTGATTTGGTTTTAGGCGGGAAATGATGCCCCTGCTGTCCCTGATCTTCTCTGCCCTCTTCATCCTCTTCGGCACTGTCATCGTTCAGGCTTTCAGGTAAATGTCCTGTGACTTCTCGGTGCACCACCATGGTTGCTGTTTACACTTTTTTTGTAAAACTCCTTTTTTCTTACTTTAGTGACTCGAATGATGAGCGAGAGTCAAGCCCTCCAGGTAAAGAGGAAGCCCAAGAGAAGACTGGGAAGACTGAGCCAAGCTTCACCAAAGAAAACAGCAGGTTTCTCTAACAAAACACCAGACTCACCTCCCCGGCACCTGCCCCCCAGATCCTGTCACCTGATAACACAGCATTGGAACGTAGAGTGTAGAGAACTCTCATGCACCTCCTCCCATGTAAACTGTGGATACAGGGAAAAGTCACTGTGACTAAGACCCTCTAGGTATTTAGATGCCTTAGATTTCCTAATGAAGGCAGAAGGAGAGAAGCCTGTCAGGCAAGTGGTAGGTGAGCCAGAAGAAGGACGTGGTTTATCCCTAAAGTGTCAATGAATGTGACCACTCTTGTGCACATACACACCCAGCAGCGAGAGGCAAGGGTTTCTGAGACAAAGAACACAGACTGAACAACAGTTGTCTTCATTCTGTCCTAGAGCACCTTCTGCACCTGAAAAGCAGCATCAAGCTGGGCACAGTGGCTCACGCCTGTAATCCCAACACTTCAGGAAGCTGAGGTGGAAGGATTGCTTGAGCCCAGGATTGGAGACTAGCTTAGGCAACATGTCAAGACCCTATCTCTACAAAAAATGTATAAAATTAGCTGGATGTGGTGGCAGGCGCCTGTGGTCCCAGCTACTTGGGAGGCTGAGGTGGGAGAATCACTTAAGCCCAGGAGGTCGAGGATGCAGTGAGCCATGATCATGTCACTGCACTCAAGCCTGGACAACAGAGCAAGACCCTATCTCAAAAAAAGAAAAAGAAAAAGAAAAGCAACACAGAAAGGCTGTTTGTAGGTCAGGAATTACTAAGTCAGGCCATCCCCATCCTACTGATGTGTTAGACTCAAGAATAGTGAATAACATACCTAGTCTGGTTAGAACGTGGCATTTTCTCTCACTTGTTTCTTTTCAAAGTAATGGCTTTCCCCTATTCTGACAGCATCTTAACTCCTCAATATTTCTCCACAGCAAAATTCCTAAAAAAGGCTTTGTGGAGGTAACTGAACTCACAGATGTAACATACACCAGTAACTTGGTACGTCTGAGGCCAGGCCACATGAATGTGGTCCTCATCCTGTCGAATTCTACCAAGACCAGCCTACTACAGAAATTTGCTTTGGAGGTCTACACATTTACTGGGTAAGCGTGTGTGTGTATGAGAGAGAGAAGAAGGCACACTGAAATTGCACGCTTTCCTCTTTGGTCTTGTGGGGCTTTATCCATGCAACAAGACATTGGCTGTGACCTTTCCAATCCAGACATCTGAGCCATTGGGACAGGGACCTCTTTTCCCACTTCACTTCGTGTTCTGTTGGTTCTGAACAGAAAAGCTTGAACTCAATGTTATTCCCTGAGCCCTTTCAGTTACTGTTCTCTAGCCCTTGTGTATTTTCCAGAAGAGCAATGTAAGCTCCACTGAGCAACGGATGGGGGAATGGGTGACTGAAGTGTCACAGCTGCTGGAAAGGCACTGGCCCCCGCAGCAAGCCGCCTTTTTCTCTGTGTTCAGGCCCCATGCAACACAAAGCGTTTGCCTATTATTTTAAGTTTCACTGGGGTATTTATTTTCTTAGCAATTAAATGTGTCAGGAAATGCCCTGAGTCCTCATTCTCTTCTTCCTACAGGAGCAGCTGCCTACACTTCTCCTTCCTGAGTCTAGATAAACACAGAGAATGGCTAGAATACTTATTAGAATTTGCGCAAGATGCAGCCCCGATCCCAAACCAATATGACAAGCATTTCATGGAACGTGACTACACTGGTTATGTCCTGGCTCTGAATGGCCACAAGAAATACTTCTGCCTCTTCAAACCCCAGAAAACAGTTGAAGAGGAGGAAGCCATGGGGTCGTGCAGTGATCTTGACTCTTCCCTCCACCTGGGTGAATCCCGAGGGAAACCTTCCTGTGGCCTTGGATCCAGGCCCATCAAAGGAAAGTTGAGCAAGCTCTCCTTATGGATGGAACGCCTGCTGGAGGGCTCCTTACAGAGGTTTTATATCCCATCATGGCCTGAACTAGACTGAGAGGATTTTCAGAAGAGATTGGAACTCTTCAGACTTTTTAACATGCCCCTGTGAACAGGTATTTTCAGGAATCAAACTACCACAATGAACAGAGTATAGATTTTAGATTGCTCTTCTAGAACCATGGCTAGAAGAATCTTTCCTCTGTCCTGTTCTAACCTAGGAATGAAAAACGCCACAAGTTTGAATCCCCTAGATCAAAATCTTTTCCTCTGGGTTTTATTTTTCCCCACTGAATGCCACACCATTGAAAATAGACTGCTCACCCCCTCTTCCTTTCTTGTCCCTGTCCCATGCTCACCCAACCCTCCTGTCCTGTGTCTTGGAGAAACACAGGGCTCCACCCTGCAAACGGCATCTGGCGGACCCTCATGAGCCTGTCGTGCAGGCCGGGTGATTGGCCCCTTCCCCAGTCCCGGCCCTGCTATGCTTCTGCCATGGTGCATGCTCCTAACCCTGAACAACCCACGGCAGCTTCTAGCCCCGCATCTGGAAAAAGGCCCCTTTCCAAGCAATCTCATATTTACTGGTTGTTCTGGGAATAAGTGGCTAAATGTATATTTCGGGGGTATCCTCCAACAACCGTTTGTTGGCCACAGTTTGAAAAGGAAAGGAATGAGCGGGAGTTCTGCATGTGAGTTCTCAAGAAAAGGAAAGGGAGGCTGAGCAGTGGCTGAAGCGATGCAGCCTTGAGACATGCTGTGAGCGTCCCATCCGCCGCCCCAGCGCTGCTGGTAGCCAGGGGAGGGGTCTGCACAGTGAGAAGTACTGTGATGACTTTGAGCCGTTGACATGTATGTTTTCAGATGCCTTTCTGCCTCTATTGATTTTAGGGTGTGGATATTAGGAGCCATAGCTTGTAATCTTGTTCTCTGAATGTAGAGATAAGCTGCTATGTAAAGCCAGTAGACGTTAAACTGAAGAGAAACTATTCTCACCTGCTATGAGTCAGGCTCAAGGAACCTCCTCACTCCAATAGTGTCTCTTTAGTAAAATACCAAACATGTCTTTGTATCAAGGAACTTAAAATTTCTCAACAATTGTATTTTGAACACTGTTACCCTAAAAGTGCTGTCTCTTCAAGTCATCTTTTGCAGCAAGTGAGCCAAGACTTGTTCTAGACTCCCATTTTGCAAAAGGCTTACTTTCCACTTCTGGCCTATATTTTGATGTCTCATCTTCATTGTTTTCACTCTTAACTTACAGCTGCTTCACCAGTATCGGGGTGAGACTGGCCATCAGCACCTGAGCGTACTGAGCTCCAGGAATAGTGGACCCCAGCCTGGCTCATACCAGCCAGTTAGCTACCTTTTATTTTTCAGGGCAGAACCACCAATAGTTCTGAGTTTGAGTTTGGACAGTTTCAAAGAGTAGTCCGTTCAAATGTCAAAGCAAGGTGCCTTTGGTGGCTTTGTGAAGGTTGAAAATCAGTGATGGGACATTTACTAAGTTAGTATTTCTTTTTTTTTTTTTTTTTTTGAGACGGAGTTTCGCTCTTGTTGCCCAGGCTGGAGTGCAATGGCACAGTCTCGGTTCACCGCAACCTCTGCCTCCCAGGTTCAAGCAATTCTCCTGCCTCAGCCTCCCTAGTAGCTGGGATTATAGATATGTGCCACCACGCCCGGCTAATTTTGTATTTGTAGTAGAGACAGGGTTTCTCCATGTTGGTCAGGCTGGTCTCCAACTCCTGACCTCAGGTGATCCGCCCTCCTTGGCCTCCCAAAGTGCTGGGATACAGGTATGAGCCACCACGCCTGGCTAAGTTAGCATTTCTTTAATCATAATACTTTAAACTAAGCCACTTGGATCCTGAATAATTTAAATCTTGAGCTACATTGGTAAGTAATAAATTATTTAAGGCCAGGAAATCTGTAGTTTTCATGGAGTCTGTAGCTTTATTAAAAAATAAATCACTTCCAGGCTTCATTCTTCCATATGATCCTCTAAAAATGGACACTTCCTCTGAATGCTGTATCTCATGGCACCTGGTCCAACTAGAAGTGGTCAGGGAATTCATTTGGCTCCTTGATACATCAGTCCTCAAAATTACTTTCTGGCTCTTTTATGGCCAGATTGCTTATGTGAGTAGTCTTTTGGTTTGGTAGTAAGTTTTTATTTTTAATTTCTGTACTAATGAAATTCCTGACTTTAATTTCTAAAAACCAAAAACTCTCCAAGTTTATTTATTTATATTTTTTTAAATGGAGACGAGGTCTTGCTGCGTTGCCCAGGTGGGTCCCAAACTCCTGGCCTCAAGCAGTCCTTCCACCTTGGCCTCCTAAAGTGCTGGGATTATCAGTATGAGCCACCATGCCAGATTCGTTCATTTTTTAAAATTTTTATCTCTTCAAGTCATCTTTTGATCTTTTAAAAAGCACCTTCAAACAGCTGCGCCTTCCATTTGCACTAGGAAAGGAAAGTAGTGATGGGGTTGGCAATGTTTCTGGCAAATGTTTCAGCCCAAAAACTCTTCTACAGACGGGTTTAGAGCTGGTGCCCTATGAGAATATTAGGGAACTTTTATTTTAAATGGAACTTTACCCTTGTCCATACAAGGCATTCCTCCTGAATGCATCCATGAATTTGTTTACTTTTGTGTCAAACGTATGAGCCATTGTCCTGCTCAGCCTGTGCCACCATTGCTCTGTCTGATGTCTGATATATGTAATCATACAAGACCCGATTTTGGTTCTAACACAGTGGTCTCTGACTGTCAACATTGATGTTTTTAGAGATGGGTTCTTCTGGTTGATACAGACTATGCATCGCGTTTAGCAGATGGGGTGAAACTGGCCTAAAACAAGTCTTTGCAGAATACATGCCAATTTAAAAAAAAAAAATTATTGCTCAGGTGTTGGTTTCACAATTTTTATCTAACACTGAGGCTATCAGCTCCAACTAAACAACATTTCAGGGGGTGAGGTTGCCCTAACTTCCATTAGGGACCATGGTCTCACTGCCATCACTTATTAGCCATGAGAATTTGGTTGTAGTTTTCAGGTAGGTTGGTTTCTTCCTCATTTGCAGCCTGTTGATACTTGTTCCCTTTTATTTATTAACATCCCAATCAATTTGCAGCCGCCATCATTACATAAATATTTTTCTGTTATAAAAAGAAGTGTGATCTGACTTTTTTTTAGTGATTTCCTTGGTTTGGGAATAGAGATTGGAAGCACATGCACATACTCAGACCTGTTTTGTTAACTAGAATTTTTTTTTTTTTTTTTTTTTT